CTACTGCTATGCTTGGATGCCAGGTGGAGAATTTCAGAGGGGCAGAAGTGATGAGGCAGGTGGGGAGTTCTTCCAAACCCTACAATCTGTGTGCTGCCGAGCCTGTGTACCTCCCTGCACAATGCCCTCCTCCCTGTAGCTGCCCACTCATGCCTGACCCATCCTTGCCACATCCACCCCTGGATTCCCAGCACGTGGAAGGCTCTCAGCAAAGATTTCCTGAAAAAATACACAAACACATAGACGAGAGATCAGCAGGCCAGCCACTTCCTACTGGGCCTCAACTGGGAATCCTAGTCATCACTGATCAGGATGGTCCTGGCCATGAACCTGAGCTCAGATGTAGATGTGGGGCAGGACACCAAGACCAAGTCCCTAGGATGTCACAGTACATCTGTATTCTGTGGGGACAAAGACCCTTGTCCCCTGTCTTCTACAACTGCCCCCACTACTTTAAACATTGCTCAGTCCTGAGTCAGTTGTGCTGACTGGAGCCTGAAATTCCAGTACCTAGCAGACTGAGGCAGGAAGGCCACAAGTTCAAGGCTAGCATGACCTAAATAATAAGATTCCACCTTCAGTGTGAGTGTGTGTGTGGGGGGTTAGAGATATTGAGATTAAATTAATTAATTATGTGCCTGGTGATACAGGCCTGTAATCCCTGCTACTTAGTTGAGTGAGGCAGGAAGATGGAAAGTTCAAGATCCCTCTGGGCTACAAAGTGAGTTCAGGGCTGCCTGGGCAATTTGGTGAATCTTGTTGGAATATAAATAGGGAAAGGAGGGCTAGCTAGGGTTGTATCTCAGTGTCAATGTACTTGCCTAGCATAAGTGAGGTCCTAGGTCCTATTCTTTATATTGCAAGAGGAAAAACAAAAATAAAGCAACAAAGCAAGGTGGTAGTGGTACACGACTTTAATCCCAGCACTCTGGAGGCAGAGACGGGCAGATCTCTGTGAGTTCGAGGCCAGGCTGGTCTATGGAGTGAGTTCCAGGACAGCCAAGGCTACACAAAGAAACACTGTCTTGAAAAACAAAAAAAAGGAAGGAAGAAAGAAAGAAAGAGGAAGAAAAGGAAGCAAAGGCGGTTCCTCTGTACTCACACAGCCCCTTTATGAATTCACTCAAGCTGAAGTTCTAATGAGAGCCGACTCTGAGAACCTGTCCTCCTGACACTGGTCATGGACTCCCCTGGGACTCACCCTTAAAGTGTAAATAGAGCGTGTCATTGAGGGCAGGGGTGATGTACAGCTTGTGTTGCTTGCAGAGCTTTTGAAGGAATTGTTTGGTCATCCTGTTAAAATATAAAACACAAACAAGAAGCTCGTTTCAGCTTGTCAGCTGTGAAACAGATTTAAAGGTTTGCATTTGGTTTGGTTTGGTTTTGAGATAGGGTCTCATTCTGTAGCCCAGGTCAGCTGAGAACTCACTATGCAACCCAGGCTGGCCTCAAACTTGTGGTCCTCCTGCCTCAGCCTGCTGGTATTGCAGATGTGAGCCATGGCACAAGCTCAGGTTCTTTCCTGCATCCATTCGGTCTAAAGTCCTAAGTCTGAAGCCTCAGGTTAGATAAATCTTCCTCCTCCCCTTCTCCTTTGGTATGTTTGTGTGTGTGTTCTTGTGTGTGCAAGGACACGTGGAAGCCAGAGGGGAGCATCAAGTGTCCTCCTCTATCACATCTGCTGTAGTTCTTGAGGCAGAGTCTCTCACTGAACCTGCTGATTTGGGTAGAATGGCTGGCCAGTGAGTGAGCCCCTGGACTCCTCTGTCTCAGCCTTCCCTGTTGGGGAAGTCCTGTGTATATGTCAATAAAGCACTGTTGGCTAATAGGGAACCAAGATAGGTGGGACTAGGAGTCCAGGAGGACTCTGGGAAGGAGAAACACAGGAGTCAAGATGTAACTGCCATGGGGTAGGAAGCCAAGAAATTTCTCAGGTAAGAGAAATACTTAGATTAACAATTATGGGATAAATACTTAAGTCAGAGCTAGCCAGTAAGAAACAAGCAAGGCCAACAGCTTCATAATTAATATGGCCTCCTGTGTGTTTATTTGGGACTGATGCGGCTCTGGAAACAGGCTGGCAGGAAGGCTTCCCTTTACACTTCCCAGTTCTGGGATTACAGATGTCCAGAGATGTCTGGGTGTTTGTATGGGCACTGGGGATTCTAATTTAAATCCTCATCTGAGCTATTTCAGCAGTATCTCCTGATTTAATTACTTTTTTATTTATTTATAGCTCTTAGGGCTTTACCCAATACCGTTACTTCAGTGTTCTAAACAACCGCAGTGTTTGGCCTAATACAAATACTTCTAGCAGTGTCATCAATAAAACTGGTGAGAACCAGGCATGATGTGCACATTTGTAATGCCGACACTCAGGAGACTGAGGCAGGAGGTTCATGAGGTTGAGAGCCAGACTGGGCAATAGGGTGAGACCCTGTCTTAATGCAGGGGCAGGGATGGGGATAGCATCTACTCATCCCTGGAATCCTCAGTCAAGGAGAAAATTACTTCTGCAAAATGTCTTTTGACCTCCATATATGTCCAGAGTATATGCTTGTACACATTCATTTCCATAGTCTTCCTCTCACTCTAATAATGAATACTTTTTTTTCCAAAAAGAACTAGGAAGGGGCTGGAGAGATGGCTCAGTGGTTAAGAGCACTAGCTGCTCTTCCAGAGGACCTGGGTTCAATTCCCTACACCCACATGGCAGTTCACAACTGTTTGTAATTCCAGTTCCTGAGAATCTGACACCTTCACACCAATGCACATAAAATAAAGTTAAGATAAATTATTAAAAAAAGAATTAGGCGCTGGTAAGATAGCTCAGCAATCTTACTCTTGGGGAGGATACAATACAAGTTCCCAGTACACTTCAGGCAACTCACAACCTCCTGTAATTCCAACTCTAGGGAACCCAGCACCTTCTTTTGGCCTCCATGGCTACCTACACACAGATAAATAAAAGTAACACCCTCTCTCTCTCTCTCTCTCTCTCTCTCTCTCTCTCTCTCTCTCTCTCTCTCTCTCTCTCTCTCTCTCTCTCTGACAGGTTCCTCAGCTGTTGTCTGTGCGACAGACTAAGGGGATATCATGGTGCTCCCTCCTTGGTAGCTGTGCTGTACAACACATACCTGGGGCTTCGATCATCCCTGTCATTTCTTGCATAGGCTGAGTGACCATCTAACCCACTGTCACCACTCTGTTGCTGCTGACTTTGGCAGGATATTGTTTCCTTGGCCTCATTAATTTCTGTAAAATAAGAGTCAACTTGTAAAGATTTAGGATAGGTATGGCAATCCCAGCCTGTGACCCCAGCACTCGGAAAGATCGAGGAAGGGTTTTGGGTTTGGCCTGCCTGGGTTACAGAGTGAGACACCATAACAAAAGAAAAAAACCTAGGTGGTTATGTTTTTTGATTTATATAAATGGGATCCTGTGCTTTTTGTGGAACTTGTCTTTTTTAACCCATCTATGTTCCTGAGGATGAATCTTACTGACGGATGAAGCGCCCAGTGCATCATTTTCAAGGCAGAGGAATCCAGTGTGCTCTATCAGCACTCCCTTTAGACACATTTGCATTGCTAACATGTTCTGGCTGTTAGAAACAACACAAAAAATGAACATCTTTGTCCACATTTTTATGGTCTCCTGTTCAGTTTTTATAGAGGATCAGCCTAAAAGCATCATTTACATAGTCATTAATAATTTGTAAAGATTTCTATACAGGGGGATGGAGAGATGGTTCAGACATTAAGAGTTCTTGGAAAGCTTGCTACTCTTCCAGAGAACCAGAGAGTTCAGTTCTCAGCACCTACATGGCAGCTCATAACTGCCTGTAACTCCACTTTCAGGGTATCTGACGATTCTGGCCTCCTTCTGTGTAGCCTTGGCTGTCCTGGTCACTCTGTACACCAGGTAGGCTTTGAACTCACAGAGATCCACCTACCTCTGCCTCCCAAGTGCTGGGATGAAAGGTGTGTGCCACCACCGCCCAGCAATAAACATTTTTTTAAGGACATGCTGAAAAAAATAATTAAAAGGGACAAACTGGTGTCATGGAGAATTTTCCAGTGAGTTTTCTTGTAGAATATCAAGTTACACAGAAGTAAAATTTACCCAAAGAGTCACTGCCTCAAACATAACTTTAGGACTGCTGTGATACAGATTTGAACCACTGTATTTATGCATTTCTGGGATTTGAACTCAGATTATCAGGCTCGTGTTGCAAGGACTTTTACCCTGTAAGACATCTCTAGGAGCCTCAAATGAATGTAACTTCAGGAGCTGATGGCTCTGTCTGGGTGAGAGTATGTTGGATGACACTGAACACTGTTTGGAGACTGTGTCATACATTCATTGCCAACAATTCTCAGTCACTGGCGGTACCTGATGAATATTCATTGGAATAAATAATTGGTGTTGTGCATGTGCTGGATTGATTGTATTAATAAAGGTCTGGCATTCATTAATAGTGAATGGGCAGGCATGTTTGTGGGGTGCTGGCTGATCTAGGCTGTGTGGATGGGCATGTTTGAGGGGTGCTGGCTATTCCGGGTTGTGTTGACGGGCCTGTACAAGGCGGGTTGGCTGACTGTTCTTGTAGCTGCATGGATGGGCATGTGTGAGGGGTGCTGGTTGCTCCCAGCTGCGTGAATGGGCATGTGTGAGGCACACGGGCCCTTGCCCCCTCGGCTCCCCTACGCGATGGCACCTTCTTTGAGGACCCCTGGGCCCGCGTCGCCGTGATCGCCCGCCGACTCCTCCAGATTGGGTTCCGCCGCTCTGCCCGCCGGCGGCTCTGAGGCCTCTGGGTGCATGCTCGCTCCTCGCCCCGCCACTCAGCTCCCGCACTACGGTCGGCGTCGTTAGTTGTCCAACGCTTCCCCGGTCGTCACGGTAACCAGTGCGCACGCGCAGTCGGTTACGCCGCCGAAGGCGGGCCTAGTGGGGGCTCCACCCTGGCGCGTGCGTATCGGATCACGTGGGTAGCGGACCCGCAGCGGAGTCCGGGGCGGCGGCCGCGCGGACTGGCGGCGGGACAGGCTACGGAGATCGCGCCACTTGCTGCAGGTATCGCGTCCGCGTCCTTCGCACCCCACTTCCGGCCCTGACCACGCCCCCTGAGACCCCGACCCTCAGGAACGCCACCCACGCCCCCTTGCCGCGCCGGGTAGCTACGAACTCTTGGTTCCGCGCTCCCGGCGGTCCCTCAGCAGCCGTAGCAGGTGTCCCGGGCCTCATCTTCGCTCCGTGGCTCGCACACACGACAAGCCCTATGTCCGCCCTTTATTAAGTGCCTTTGTATCCTTCTTTCCCCGCCGCTGGGTCTGAATGGGTTGTAGGATTCAGAACTGTTGCAGAATGGCAGCGCTGCTGAAGAAAGCGCGCAGATCCTGCAGAGCCGGGTGGGTTCTGCAGAGTCGCTGGGCGTCGCCCGGCGTCGCAGGGGAGGGAAGGGGAATGAGCAGGAGACTCCCTCTTCCACAATCTAGATTTAACCGCATCCCTGGGCGGTGACCGCAGGGGTACAGGTTCCTACGGGCCGGCCGGGGGTCTCATGAACCAGCCAGGGCTCTGAGCGTGCCTTAGTCTCAGGTCTTAGCTGTGACATTCTGGGGTGTGACTCTGCATCCTTTTCCTCATGTGTAGTACTGCTTCGTGATAGTGAAGGAAGGGTAAAGAGAGGCCATAGGGATAACATGCGTAGAAGTTTTTTCATAAAGTCGGGTCAGTACAAATAGCGGTAGTTAACATCGAACCCTGAGTAATAATCCTGACTAGTGGGTAAGGTTTATTGAGCTGTTGCGAAAGGCGCTGTTCTAAGTGTGTTTTTTATGTATCCCCTAATTCTCATTGTAGCCGTGAAGTAACTGTTGGCCCCTTTTACAGGTAGTAATGGAAGGACAGTGTGTTGTAGTGTAACTTAATCTCCAAGGGCAGGATCTGTTTTTCAGAGTGACCCTAGTCATTTTGGGAATATTTCAGAAGTGCAGAGTTCAACACTACTTTATTAGCAGAGTGTGTGTGTTGGGGGGGCGGGTGTTACTCATTTATGTGTGTGCATGGAAGCCACAGATCAGTGTTTTTTACTTTCCACCTTATTTTTTGAGAAAATGTCTTTCAGTGGACCCAGAGTTTCCTTTAGCTAGACTGGCTGCCCCCTATGATCCTCTTGTTTGCTTTTTCCCTCCCGGTACTGGGGTTACAAATTGTTTCTACAGTTTTCTACTCTTACATACTGCTGGGGAATTTCAACTCAGGTCCTCGAGCTTGCACAGCAAACACATACTCTCCTGAGTCATCTTTCCAGTTACCAGTGGATTTTTTCCCCCTTTGAGGCAAAATTCACATAACAAAATCCATCATTTTAGCCATTTTGAAATGTGCAACTTAGCACTTTGTAGTATATTTACAGTGCTGGGCTGTTGTCACCCCTGGTTCGAGATAATCTTCACCACCCCAAAAGAAGTTGCACCCCATCAGCTGCAGTTTGGGTTCATTTTGCCCGCAGTCAGTGTTTCTGCTTTCTGTGTCTGTGGCTTTTCCTCAGCCTCACATTTTCACACCAAAGCATGTACTCATGCCCCATTACTTTTTAGAACTCAGTGATATTCCAGTGTGTCATGGTTGGGCCACCTTGTGGTCATCACTCAGTGGACATTTTGGCAGTTTCATCTTCCCACTGCCGTGAGTAAGGCTGATGGGAACCCGCTTTACAGAGTTTTAGTGCAAGCAAACATTTTCAGTTGTTTTGGATGAGTGCCTAGGAGTGGGCTGTTGTTGCCTTAATTCCTGGTGCCGGAGTAGAGAGACCTGGATCTCAGGGATGTTGGATCTTGGGTAAGAGTTCTGGGCTCTGGTTCCCATGTGTCTATTTTTCCCCCTCAGCCTCACTGCTAATCCAATCACTGATCAAAAATGGGCAGAAGATAAAGAACTGCCAGATGACACTGTAAGAGAATTTGTCAGAATGCTGATACAAAGTTTCGGGTTTTTTCTCTTGAAGAGTGAAATCTGAACTCTGGCACAAACAGTATCTAATGGCATTTGCTAAGGCAGTGCTGTATTTGCTAGGGCAGTAATCTATTTATTAAGGCAATGTTGTATACACAGCATTTTGGATGTACGAAAACCAGTTTCCACTATTACAAAATCCAAGATTGCAGTCTAAATCAGAAGAACTTCTAGAAAATGCTGCGAGGAAATTGCTGCCAGGGGTTGCAGTGTGAAGTAAAATGTAATGGGCGCTGCTCTTAAAGGAAGGGTCTGGAAACAAAGACATCTAGTTCATCAGCAATGCTAGCAAGACATAGCAGCGAGAGCATGTGTCTAGAGTCTGTCAAGAATTCTTGTCATTCTGAGAGAAAAAGAAGACAGGGTAGTAGGAAGAGGGGCAAACTGTGGGAACGGGTACTTCGGAGACTGAGCAGCAGTAGTGGACATGGTTCAGAAGTCTTGGCCCTATTACTAAGCACTCCTACACACCCTGCTGTTTGAGGGCAAACCCCTGGGCGTTCCTGCAGGTGGCACAGAGGAGGCAGTGTGCACGCCCACCCTTGAGACAGGTGAGTCAGGTCTGCCACAGCGGAAAGGGTCAGCAAGGTAGGGTGGAACCCTTGAGTGCCTTGTGGCACAGCAGCTCCATTGTGTGGCATGCCCATGCACCAGTGCCCAGGAGATGTGGTTAAGAATTTGAGTGTCCTAGGCTGGGGGGTAGCCTGGACAGGCATTGCATGTGCGAGTGTCACGACCTACTACAAAACTGTGACCTCAGCCAGGAGAGGAGTCTCTGGAAGAGGAGGGTGCAGGTCAGTTCAGGACACTGGGGGACTTCTCAGGAACCTCTCAGACAGGCAGCACTCAGCAGCGCTGTGGAGTGTTTCAGAACAGAAAGAGCCAGAGCAGCAGGTTTGGGGTACAAACTGTGATGCCAGCATTCACAACACTGAGGTAAGATCAAGGCCAGCCTGTGCCTCAAAAACAAACAAAGCAACCCAGATTTCTGGAGGGTGTGCCCTTCAGGGTAGAAGGGGGGATAGAGAGGAAGCCTGAGTGTCCTGGAACTTGTTGGATGCTGCTTTTGTTAGGCTGGTCACTGAGTAGGTGTTTTGTTTTCCTTTGAGCTGTACATATAGTTTTTACACTTTGGAATGTGTTTTCTAGTTTCCTTTTTAAACTTTTTTTATTTTTGAGACATGTTCTCAATTGTAGACCAGGATGTCCTTGAACTCAGACATCCACTTGCCTCTGCCTCTTGAGTTTTGAGATGAATATTCTACCATGCCCAGCCCTTTTTTTAATGTGGAGAAATTTGTTTTGGACACAGCTCCTGACCTCTGGAGGCCCGAGCTTCAGTTGCAGAGTCAGAAATGAAATATTGTGTTAGATCAGAGCAGCAGAGGGTGGGGCCGGGTTGACAGGAGAAGACGGGTCCTCAGGCTGGAGGAGGTTGCTCCCCAAGACCATTGGTGGTTGGGACTTTGAAGCAAGGAAAGCGAGTGAATATAAACTAGCTTAGAAGGCTAAGCAGGACTTAGGATTCTGTGTACAAGGCAGACTCAGTGGACACTCCAGAGCCAGATGAAGAGCACCACACCTGTGGCTGCAGAGGGTAAGGAGGCCCTGCCAGTCCTTCCCAGTCTGCAAGGTCACCCTTCAGTCCAAGAGCAAAGGGCTTGCTTCCTGATAACATTATGGTTATGGCTGAGGGCCTTTTGCAGTGTCTTCCAGACTGACAGTGCATTACCTGTCTTCTGTCCATCCCTTCTTTCCGGCATCTGTCCCTGTGTCTACTATATTTCCTTCTGTAACATGACTTAACAAATGATTATTACCTTGTAGTTCTGCAGGTTAGAAACTAAAGCCCACCTCACCAAACCAAAGTCACAGTCCCCAGCAGTGTCCTTCTGGAGAACCCAGGGAAGATTGTCCTCACCTTTGTTGGCTCCCAGAGTCATTCACAGGCCTTAAGTGTGACCCTGTGGAGACTGTGGTCATGTCACTCTCTCTGCCTTTGACCTTCCTGTTCCCATGTTAGGACACATGGGAATGCCCAGTCATGCCTCAGCGCTGTTCCTGGGGATCTCACTCATGTGTTAGAAATGTCTGTGTATGCTCTGCTTTTGCCTCCTCCTCAGCAGTCCTGCAAATGCTCTACCTCACAGGTGGTCAGCCATCTTTCAGCATATGGGCCCAGGGGAGTCCTGATTTACTTCTCAAGTTTTCCTTGGTCTGGGACATTGAGTTGCCATCTTCAGCCCTGTTTGAATGGTTTCCTTTCCATGCCCACTTTCTTGTATAAGACCCCCCCCACCTCCCAGGACAGTGACCACCAGTTTAGGTCTTTTGATGGCTTTGTGCTTTATTCATAAACATCTGGTGTTTGGTTCCATTGGGCTTCTGTGAGTTTGGTGGGTGTGAGTCAGATCTCACCTTGGCCTGGCTGGGAGGAACGGCTGATTGGTGTTTTCTCAAGTCAAGGCTCCAGAGCCTGTTTCTAAGCAACACATTATAGTTGGTGGGGCCACTGTCTCAGCAGTTCCTGACAGTGGTAAGCTGGGGAAGGGTCTCCAGGCAGATAATGGAGAATACTGCCAACCCCCCTCCCTGTTTAAGGCCCTCTTTCCTGCCACTCCTGCCAGGGGATAAGAAGATGTTGGGCACCTGGGTTCAGGTTGCCCAGGCTTGGGGCATGGACTACACAGGGTGGGTCTTTTTTTTTTTCTTTTTTGGTTTTTACGAGACAGGGTTTCTCTGTATTGTTTTGGAGGCTGTCGGTCCAGCCCGGCCTCGAACTCACAGAGATCCGCCTGCCTCTGCCTCCCGAGTGCTGGGATTAAAGGTGTGAGCCACCACCGCCCGGCGCACAGGGTGGGTCTTGTGGGAAGTTCAAGAGGGTGCTGCAGAGGACTGAGGAAGGTGGTCTACAGAGAGCGTGACCCTTCCACAGGCAGGTGGAGAGACCAGACCCAGGTGAGGTAGGCAGCCGGCTGCTCAGGCTCAGCCATTTGTTCCCGGGCTCACCTGCATGGATTTTGGTCCTATTTGATGATGAAGAAGAGTCAGGACAAGGAAGGAATGGCCTCTTCCCTGTGCCTCCAAGGCCGGGACTGTCCCCAGGCGTGCACTCTTTGCTTTGCTGTCGACTCATGCATTAGAAGTTCGCTTTGTTTTTGAAAGCACTGATCTTAGTTTCGCATAAAGTATCCCCAGCTGAGCTGGGAATTTGCTTATTGTTGGCTTTCCTTCACAGCTTGCCTTTAAGAGGACAGAGCTGACAGCAAGAGGCTGAGAGAAGCCGGGCTGACAGTGAGGAGAGCAGAACCCCTCTGAGGTTAGGCACCTTCCGCTGGATTTACTTCACTGGTGTCCAGAGTCTTGGGGAAGCTAGGGCAGAGGGGCGGTAGCGCCATGCCTTCATCCCTCCCTCTTCTCCCCCCCCTTGTTCCTTTTCTCCCTCCTTTTCTTTGCAGTGCCGGTGCGTGTGGGCAGGACTTCATGTTGGAACCACCCCCTTAGATGTTTTTTCATTAAGTTCCAGGCTGGCTTTGAACTTCAATCTTCCTGCTTTAGTCTCTCCAGTAGCTGTGCCATGGGGCCTGATTTTTTTTTTTTTTCATGGTGTAGCCCTGGCTGGTCTGGAACTTACTATGTATACCAGGCTAGCTTTGAACTCACAGAGATCCACCTACCTCTGCCTCACCAATTCTGGGATTAAAGGCATGCGCCATCAGTTCAGCTGGGGTCTGACTTTATTATTATATTTATTATTATTATTTTGTTTTTTTGAGACAGGGTTTCTCTGTGTAGCTCTGTAGACCAGGCTGGCCGCTAAGTCACAGAGATCTGCCTGCCTCTGCCTCCCGAGTGCTGGGATTAAAAGCATGTGCCACCACTGCCCGGCTTTTTATATTTGTTTTTTGGAGAGCAGGTATTACATATAAATAGCTCAGCTCTTTGGTCTTAAACTGGGACTCCTCCTTCCTCAGCCTCCCAGATTATGGGTCCACATCACTACCCAGGTTAAGAAAACTTACTCTCAAAACTTACTGTCACATCAGCTTGATTGCTGCCCCATGGTGGAAATGTGGACCGTACTGGGGACAGTGCCCTGTGTGGTCAGGGCCACTGCAGCTTGCTGGCGCATGTCTTCTGTCTGTGGCTATGTAATCTCAGTTGCCTGGTAGCTGTTGCTCAGTTTTCTCTTCGTGCTTCTTCATGTGTTTTACTGGGGAGGCAATGTGTTCACAGGTTTCTGCTTGGTAGTTAGTTTCTTTTTTCCCTGCGTAAAGCTTGATAGAGCTTGTGTTTCTCCACAGTAGACACAGAGGGCACCCACTCCTTCCCCAAAGCTTGTGCTGGTTTTTGCCACTGTGTTGGCTGTCTCCAGGACTCCCCTCCTCTCACTTTAGATGGATTTCCTTCCAGAAGTCATTCCCACAAGTTTTGTATTTTCTTTTTTTGAGGGAGAGGGGGTGGTACTGAAGGTCTAGCTCCTTGTGTGTAATCTCAGCTGTCTTACTATGCCTGTGAGCCTTCAGGCCTATCTGACCATTTAGTGTACACTGGATCTGACTACAGCGGCTCCTCTGCGATGGTCCAGAATGGAGCACAGCCCGTGGTCATGCCATTGAGACCATGCCTGGCCTCTGTCTACTTCCCCAGGGTCCCCTCTGCCTGAAGGCTGAGATACCCAGATGAACTTGCATTTTAATTGTTAAATGCCTGCCTCTGTCCTGGATCCTTAACACCTGTCACGGTACTTTCCACATGTCTGCCCTTTAGTGTTTACTGTGTTCACTTAGAAGAGCTAGGCGGGACTTTCTCATAGCTAGAGGCCAGGAGGGAAAATACCAGGCAAACCAAGTTAGTCAGGGAGAGTACTCTCACTCGGCTGTGCTGTTGCGGAAGGGCACCATCTCCTCATATATTGGGGGATGTTCCTTCTATCTAATATGCATGTTTCTTGGGACCAAGGCCACACGCTGTCACTACCTGTGTTTATCCTACTTGTCACTATTGAGGTAGTAGGTCCTCTGTACTTCTGACTGACCAACACCAGGAACTGGACACTTTGCAGCTGCCATCAGTTATAATTGTGCCTCTTGCAGCATGGAAATGGGGCACTCATGTTTCTCTTTGTTCAGGCTCAGAGTTAGGATTTTTGGAGGAATTCAGTAACTGAGTATCTATTAAATAGCCTCTTGGAAGGCAAGTGCTTCCTAAACCATAGGTGCTAGACAGTGAGGTCATGGGACAGTCTCAGGCTGTGTGCTCTCAGGAGTTACTGTTACTTGAAATGTAGAGTCCTGAATGCCAGGGTTCTCAGTTTTCCATCTGAGGAGGTCCGCTCTGTCCACAAAGTGCAGCTCTCTCTCCTCTTGTCCCTGCAGGTTGCCATGGCTGCGGTTGACAGCTTCTACCTCTTGTACAGGGAAATCGCCCGGTCTTGCAATTGCTATATGGAAGCGCTGGCCCTGGTGGGAGCCTGGTACACAGCCAGAAAGAGCATCACGGTCATCTGTGACTTCTACAGCCTGGTCAGGCTGCACTTCATCCCTCGCCTGGGGAGCAGGCCTGACCTCATCAAGCAGTATGGAAGATGGGCTGTCGTCAGTGGTAACTTGATTTCAGCTCCTGTGGTCTTTCTGGTTGGGTTGTATTTAAGTAGGTGCTTCCAGGAAGGAGCTGCAGAATTTAACTGGAGGCTTCTGCCTCCTGCTGAAACCTAATTCTGTGCTCTTGCCACCTCACTTCAGGGAGTCCTACCTCAGAGTCACCCCCCTCTTCACTCCAGCTCCTGTTCCCAGCCCCCCTTCCTGCCCCTCACATGTCTTTTCTGCTGTCTGTTTTGAACTTGCCCTTTGGGGTTGTCAAAGCTCTCAGAAATGCTTTACCTGCTTTGAATTGCGTTGTGATTTGTCTCCATGTCCCAGAGAGCTCATCCTAACATCTAAGCAAGTCGGGGGCAAGTTTAGAAACAGATTCCTACACAGTGCCCTACTCCAGTGGGCTGAATGTGAGCAGTGCCTGGTCTGTCCATCAGGATATCTTGGTGCGTGTGTGCGCGCCATATGTACATGTAAAAGGTCTGGGAACAACTTGTGGGAGTCAGTTCTCTCCTTCTACCATGTAAGTCCTGGGGTTTGAACTCAGGTCATCAGGCTTGGCAGGAAGCACCTTTACCCACTGAGCCCTCTTGCTAGTCCCTGTCTGAGGATTTTTACCATTATGATTCATCTTACCAATTGAACATAGTCCTTAACTGACAGATGTTAACATGTTCCCTCCAGTGTATGTTTTTCTCAGATGAGAGCAACAGTGAATAGTTGTGGTTCTCTGTAAGGAAGCATGCTTCAACATGCTCAGGCCTCTTGGCTTGCCTTGCAGGGGCCACAGATGGCATTGGGAAGGCCTATGCTGAGGAGTTAGCAAGCCATGGACTCAACATCATCCTGATCAGCCAGGAAGAAGAGAAGCTGCAGGCTGTGGCCAAGCACATAGCAGACACCTACAGAGTGGAGACAGTTGTCATGGTGGCGGACTTCAGCAGAGGCCGGGAGATTTATGCTCCAATCCGAGAAGCCCTGAGAGACAGAGACATTGGCATCCTGGTGAATGATGTGGGTGCATTCTACCCCTATCCCCAGTATTTCACCCAGCTTCATGAGAACACACTCTGGGACATTGTGAATGTGAACATTGCGGCTGCAAGCTTGATGGTCCACATAGTGCTTCCGGGAATGGTGGAGAGAAAGAAGGGTGCCATCGTCACAGTGTCTTCCGGCTCCTGCTGCAAGCCCACACCACAGCTGGCTGCCTTTTCTGCATCCAAGGTCAGGCTCTTCTTCCTGTGGGATGGTTGGGAGTAGTCAGTTCTTATTTGCTTATGCTGGCAGTTTTCCTGGAGATGGGAAAAGGCAGGTCTTTTGCTCTTGGGTTTTCTTTCAAGGTCCTTCAGGTTCAAAGTACTCTTCCTCTGTCCCCCCTCCCGCCTAGGCCTATCTGGACCACTTCAGCCGAGCCCTGCAGTATGAATATGCCTCTAAAGGAATCTTCGTGCAGAGTCTGATCCCTTTCTACGTGACCACCAGTGTGACTGCACCTGGAAGCTTCCTGCACAGATGCCCATGGCTGGCACCTTCACCGAGAGTGTATGCGCAACATGCCGTGTCGACCCTGGGCATTTCGAAAAGGACCACAGGCTACTGGTCTCACTCCATTCAGGTAGCTGCTTGCCATCAGGTGGAAAGCTCCGAGCCATGTCAGGGACTGAGGGTCGGGAATTCCCACTCATACCTCACATTCTCAGTGATTCACTTACAATGCTAGATGCTCATATGTGGTGATTAATGTAACAATTTTCAAGTTTTCTTTCCCCTACAAAACACATGAAACAGGCTGTTTCAGTGTGTGTGGAAATGTGAGGATACTGGGTGCTTGAGTAGGGATTTCATTGCAGAGAATATGGAATTCATTTGGTGATGTCTGAAAGGGAAAGGCTAGCGCACAGCCCAGTTCAGAAAAACCCTAAGATCGGGCCATAAGCACATAACCATCATGTTAAAAAAATCTTCATGTATTCTTGGATTCATTTACTCAGGAAGCCTAGAAGTTTTCCTAAGATTTTGTTGTTGTTCAGACAAAACAAAGATTTTTTTAAAGAGTATTTTGGGGCTTGCCAGATGGCTCCGCAGGTAAAGTTACTTGTCACCAGGCCTGATGACCTGAGTTTGATCTCCAAAATCCAAGTGCCGCAAGGAGAGTACTGCCTCCCACGAGTTGTCCTCAGATCTCTACACACACTGTGGCATGCATGTACACACAAATAAGTGTAATAAAAATATTTTGAGAAATATTTGAACTGCTGGGTGTGTTGCACACGCCTTTAACCCCAGTACTCAGGAGGCAGAGGCAGGCAGATCTCTGTGAGTTCAATCCAGCCTGGTCTGCAAAATGAGTTCCAGGACAGTCAGAATTGATACACAGAGAAACCCTGTCTCAAAAATCAAAAAAGAAAAATATTTGAACTTCATGGTGTTGTGCCCAAGTTGTAAAGATCCCCAGAGACCACCAAAGACAAACCCACCAAAATGCAAAAGCAAGATTTTTGTGTTCCTCTATCCATAACTGGGACCCTGTCTAGCAAGCTGACGTAGTAGCCTCCAGAAGGAGTGAAGTTCCCTGTCTACTGCTAGATTTTAAAGACAAAAGTTACAGGATTACGTCAGTAGGTACTGGTTGGTTTCTGATTGGTTGACATTTGGGAACAATTAGGAGAACTTCTCAAAGTCATATTTTGGCATGAAATATCTGTGTGCCAATTATTCTCATTGGTCAGTGCTGAGAGGCAACAGTCTGTGGTTTCTATGGCTTTGTCTTGTTCCTTGCAGGTGGCCTGTTGTACATAGATATCAATAGTTTTCAGAACTATATCCTGGAGACTACAGGGGAGGTTTTGGTCTCCCCTAGAGTTTCTTTTGTGACCCAACAGTTCCCAGGAACCAAGCATCTGGGAGACTGGGTGGGGCGGTGGTCCTGGATTTCTTTGTGTTCAGTTTTGGCCCTAGGCTCTGGGAGGTCAGGAGACCTGGATGGAGTTTCCTTGTGTCAGAGGCCTATGTGTCTTTTCTGTAGCTTGTCATGGCTGCTAAAACAGGGGCTGAGTGAGGGTCTGGTCCCTTTATTTCTAAATTATTAGAAGTGAAGCCTCCAAGTTTAGTTTACCCCTTTCAATGGAATATTTCAAATTGAGATTTTTTAAATCACTAGGGCAGTAACTAAATGATGTATAATAATTTGTTTCTTATTATCTGGAATAGAAATAGATGTTCCCAGATTAGAATTTACTGGGCGTTCCTGATTACCAGTTAAATACTTTGAGGGCTGTTGTGCATAAAGATAATTTAGTTTACCACCACAAAATAAATGTGAGCAAATCAGCGGATAACTCTTATATTCATTTATAGGCTCAGAGCTATAGGTTTGTCAAAAAACCTGTCTTAGTAGCTGTTTCTGAGTCTGTACTTACTTGAGAACTAAGCAGAAAAACCTGAAAAGTAGTTTAAGGACGATTGTGGTAGCCCAGTCATCTCTTCAAAAGTCAAGAGTCTGAGGCAGGAGGATCTCAACTTAGGGTCAGCCTGGCCTATGTAGTGAGGCCGTTTTTTTCAAGACAACAAAAAAGTGAAGAGTGGCTCCAAGGCCTTGGAGTTCTCTTAGAGATGCAGCTGCCAGGACAAGGGATGACGAGGTATTTTAACCATGTCTGTGAAACACCAACATCTTAATCTCAGGGGAATTTGGTCCACATTAATGAACTCTCTCTAGAATGTGTTCTTCACATCAGTGCAAACTGGTAATCCCGGCTACTTTGGAGGATGAGGCAGAAGGATTGCAGAGCCTGCCTGAACTATGGAGTGAGTTCAAGGCCAGGCTGGGCAACTTATCAAGACTTTATCTCAAAATAGAAAAAGTTTAAAATGGGGGCAGGGAGGAGAATGCCAGTGCCTTCCAATGACTTTCTGAACTTCATCACTTTGAGGGCTACCATTGGGTTTTTACTGCCCCAGGATCACTGCTTTCTTAAGCCCGGATGGGTCAGTACCTCTGACATGACTCAAACTCTAAAGAGTTTGAAGAGCCTGAAACCCCTTCCTGTGTGCCTCTGCTTCCCAAACTCTGACTTCATTTGGGGATCGTCACCATCCCAGCTCAGAGTGGTTCAGTCCTTCCCTGTCTAATGCAGTGCAGTGAGCTCCTAGCTAGGTGAGTGCAAAGCCCAAAGTAACGCAGCCAAGATGCAGGAGTGGATGAAGAGTCACTGCGCAGAGGGCAAGAAGATTGTAGGCATTGTCTCTGGAACAATGTCTCCCATAACAAGGGGCATAGGGACTTATTCAGGAAGGCTATTTGTATTCATACAGAGATGGTTCATGCTCAGTTTAAGGTCACAGAGGTTAACGTGATGGACAGGGATGCTCTGGGCATGCTTAGCTTTCATCATGAAGTACAGCTCAAACATAAGAAAAGGCCATTTTGAAGGTATCCTGACTCATGACTGTGCCTTTGAAGCTCCAGTTCTACATGTCTGTACCCTGAGGATAAAGTTCATCACTCCTCTTCCTTCGCTCCCACAGACAGCTGCCAAGGGAGCCAGCACCTGACTGGCATGCTGGCAGACTGTTCTCTGATTGGCTCTACTTGGGTCCCTTCCCACTAAGTAAATACTGAAGCGTGCATAATGAGTACCACCAAGGGGCTTCCAGGGTCTCACCTGTCTCAGGGGCCCATGGTTTTGGATGAGCCACTCTCAGGTGCTCCCAAGGCACCCTCGCAAGACTTTTCATCTCCTTGGTTTTAGATGAAATCCTGTTCAGTGAGGTGCAGCTGTAGCTCCTCCTTGGAATTCAGTGAAACCTGTTCAGGATGGTACAGCTGTAGCTCCTCCTTGGATTTAAGTGAAATCCTGTTTGGTGAGGTACAGCTGCTCCTCCTTGGAGTTAGTATGTTTTACTTAGGACATATATTCCCAGGAGTATGAGAAAGGAAATGGGTGCTGATGGTGGGCATCACGATGGGGCATCATATCCCTGTGCTGCTTTGAATGAATCGAGGTGAGTGCCAACACAGAGATAAACCTCAGTGTGGAAGCGGCTCTCTTGTTTAATGTGGCCAGTAGGTGTCTCTTAACAGTGTTAGGTCCTGCACCGATCTGTACCCTTATGTCTTCAGCTTTGATGGCTTGGGATTCTAACCATGCCTCTCTCTCTTTCGTTTGTAGTTTCTTTTTGCACAGTATATGCCTGAGTGGCTCTGGGTTTGGGGAGCAAACCTTCTCAACCGATCTCTACGGAAAGAGGCCTTATCCTGCCAAGCCTGAATCCGGAAGCTCCAGAGAAGCTGGGCCAAGCCACAGTAACCTGCAGTGTTCCAGCATTTGGAAAACACATGTAGTTCACCTGTGTGTTGTCTCTTACTGAGTATCTAGTGTGTTGCCATCTTTCATGAGGCCGACTTTCAGTCTGTGAGAAAACCTCAGGGACCACATGGGTGGCCCAGGGCACACAGCCACAAAGCCTGAGAACAGAAGGGAAGGCTTCCCTAGCACTTAGACTGTGACTGGCCAGCTTCTGTAAGGGAAATCACAGCCACAAAGCCTGAGAACAGAAGGGAAGGCTTCCCTAGCACTTAGACTGTGACTGGCCAGCTTCTGTAAGGGAAATCACTTTTTTCCCATTTATAGGTGATTATAGTATTAGCTTTCAAATGTTCACATGGGTGGCTCATGTCTTTTTAATCCCAGCAATTGGGAGGTAGAGACAGGTGGATCTCTGAGTTTGTCTGGGCTATGTAGGGAGTTTTCTGGCCAGTCAGGGATATATAATTAAAACCTATCTCAAACAATAATAATGTTCACCAGGAAGGCAACAGAAAAGTGTTTTTATTTTCTAATTTGTGAACTGTGAGTGCAGGTGATGTTAGCAGTAGACACGTGTGTCACACCACATAGCTCCGTGTGAGGGCATGTGTGTGTGTGCACTGCTTTTCCCTTCTGTCCCCTTAGAACCATGTGTGTGTCGTGTGCTGTGTGTATCTGAGCGATGTTATTGATATGACTTCAATAGAGACTTTGTCAGGACGAGGTAATGGAGAGCCTTACCATATTAAAAAGTCCGGGTTACTCCTTTCCACATGGTAAAAGCCTGCCCAGCTCTGTCTTGGGCTCACCATGTCGATGCTGCTTCCTTTGAGTGTTGTCTCTCTACTCTATGGGAGGGTTTCATTCCTAGATTGGGATATGTAATAGGTTATCTTTTGGTTTCTAAGTTAATTGTTGTGGCTAAGTAGTGATGCTCAGTACATCCATGTTGTAACTGACCCCTTCAGAGATGCTTACAGCTGGTTTTCATTCACTTTTCTGTGTAATCCAGTATCATCCCAGGAGCATTGTTGATAAAAATCAAGTGTTTGTGGAATAGTGGTTAAAATATGAGCAACTTTTGTATGTGGTATGAGGTAACTGGAAATGATGTTAGAAGCTCATTTTTGGCCTGTGTAATGAATGTGTACATTATAGCAAATGCTTTTATTGGTGTGAAGATAATTTACACAAACCCTCACAATATGGGTGAGCATTGAAACTTACTGTGTTTAGTTCTGTCTCATAAAACCAAACACTTGTAAGGGTTTCTTGGCTGGTACTTGGGAAACTATAAGTCATGATATGGAGGATACTGTGTGGTAGGGTGGAAGAATGTGGCACTTACCATTGTGGCGTTGATGCTGTACCTGGAAATGAAAATGGGTGAAATGCTAGGACTTGGGTGGAATTATTTTAGGTGACATTCTATTACCTATAGGCCCAAGTGCACTTTTATGTTGAACACACACATTGTCCACAGTATCACCTGCAGCATTTCTAGCTGTGACTGGGATCCGGAAGATCAGTGGCTAGATTCTGAAGTTCTTCCTGTCTTCAGTTATGTCTTCAAAACATGTGCAAAACTCCATGTTTGCAGACAGTAGCAGAAGAACATTGGTGGAGACTTCTGTGAGAGTTTTCTGATAAGCCACAGCAACTCCACTTGAAACACCCTCAGGCATGATTCCATGGGGGTGGGGGCAGAAAGGCAGGAGACTCAGGAGTTCAAGGCCATCATGAGCCACATAATGAAACCATGGTTCAGGAAACAGAAACCATAGCAGGATCACACTGTCAATTCTGTGTAAGGTCCTGTGGTCCATTATTCAGACTTGCCAGGCCAAGTACGGAGTCCTTCTGTGTGATAAAAAGATGTCCACACTGTCGGTGATGGCCCCTCAGCAGGACTCAGCTAGAACTTGATCATTGGTGCAGACTCAGAGCACAGTGATCATGGATCCAGTAAAAGACCCAAACCAGGCATCCTTAGGCTTCCTAGCTTTCATACTCAATCCCTCCGCTGAGAGCTCCTCCTTTCACTGTGGACATGTTTTGTTTTTACCAAGGAAGGAGGCGCTCTGAACTCCAGCCTTTGTAACCTATCCTGTGAATTGAAATGTAACAATAAAAGCATCACTGTTTCCTTCAGAAAGTGTCACTGCCAGGAAAGGTTCTCCCTCCCCCCCTTGTAGATACAATGACTTGTCAACACCTGTGATTGTCATTGATTAAACAATAGGGCACACACCAATGTGCCTACTGCCTGCAGAGCACCCGAGGGATCTTGCTCTCATCCTCTGATGGCTGAGTAGGTGAGGATGGGTTGCTGGCGGTGTGGAGATGATGGGGTGACTCATGAACCATTTCAGTTTTATGGTGGGTACAAAACCAGTTGCAGGTTTTAAAGAGTGGGAAGAAAAAAATAGAACAGATAAAGTTATGAAGCTTTTTAAAGATTTATTTAGTGTGTGTATGATTGAGTTCACATGCTCCACATGCATGCAGATGCCCTTGGAGGCCAGAAGGCATCAGATACCCTGCAAGTGGAGTTACACATAGTTATGAGCTACTACGTGGGTGATGGGGATCAAACCTGGGTCCTGGAGCCATCTCTCCAGTCCCTAAGATTTTATTTTTCTTTGTTATCTATGTATCTGTGAGTATATGCCACAGGTGTGCAGGTACCTACAAAGACCAGAAAAAGAGAGTCTGATTTCTGGGCTGGAGTTAGAGGTAGTTGTGAGCTATCTGGTGTGGGTGCTGGGAACCGAACTCAAGTCCTCTGCAAGAGCAGTAAGTGCTCTTAACCACTGAACTATCTCTCTAGCCATTTTTGTTTTGCTTCCCTCAGTGATGTAAAATTTCTCTATGAGATCTAGAGGCTTGGCGGTGTCTTCTCAGACCTGATGACCTGTGCCCTCAGTCTCTACTGTCTACCCACACTGAGCTTGCTATGGTCCCTGACTTAGGACTGACAGTGTCTCCTTGTGTTTTGAGTTTTGATATGTTTCCAGGAGAGTGGTATATGCAGTACTGAACACTGACAGCTCTGGCAGCTGTGTGGTCACATGGTTATTAAGCAATTATCCTTGGTGTCTGTGTGGAATCAGTCCTGAGAGCCCCATGGACACCAAAATCTGCTGATGCTTAAGTTCCTTGAATCAAATGAAATAGTGTTCACATATAACGGCACAGGTCCTCTGTCGTCTGAAGTCCTCTGAAGATTATAACATCCAATATACAAAAACAGCATACTGTAGACTCAATATGTCTTTCCAGTGGGAAGTCAGTCCAGCAATTAGAGGTTAATAAAGGAAACTCTTTAATAATAGCACGAGACTGGTTCTGGCTACTGCACAAAAAGGAATTAGCCCGGAACAGAAATCCCCATCAGCTTCAATAGTTTCTGGGCCCACAGTTACACTTCAGTTCTAGGGTTTGGCTGTTCTGATGAATGGGGAGATTTACAATATAGTAAATACAGTACAGTGAAGTAATTGTCAGCTCCCCTGAGATAGCCCCTATGCTGCTGTTAACCAGGGCCATCCCGCCTGCTTGGCAGAAAATTGCTCTTCTGGGTAAGAGAACCTAGACTTAATGAGAACCAGGATTCAGTGGTGCTGTGGCCCAGTGCTGTCCCTTTGGACAGTCCAACAGAGGCATGTTCTTTGATAGGGGAATGTTCCTGATAGCTAGCTGTGAGCCACAGTGTCTTTTTGTTATGGCCCTAATAAGTGACAATCTTAGTGAACAAATAGAAACACTCAGCAAACCTAAACTGTAATTATGTTCAAGGTGCAAACGTTTCTGTCCTAATTTGAGTGCTCCTTTAGCTAAAGTCTACTGTGTGTAACTTAATATTTCCTAAGCAGGTTTAACAGATCCTTTATACTGTCAACTTAATGTTCCTAGTTTTTCTTGTGTCAGCAGGAGGCTTCTAGTTACTGGGATTCAGGCAGCAGAGTGACTGACACCCTTGGGAGAGTGGTGAAGACTGCAGGCAGAGAGCAAGACTGAGGTTCTTGGATCTATACATAGCCTCTCCTGCATGATGGGCCCTGCATGGGATATACCGGAATGTGGGAACAAGGTGTGGTGTTACCTCCACAGACCACACATCTGCCTCAAGATTGCCCTTTTAAAAATTTGTGTATGTCTTTGTAGGTATGTGCATATGAGTAGAGATGCCTACAGAGGCCAAAAACATGAGATCCCCCAGAAGCTGAAGTTACAGGTGGTTGTGAGCTGCCCAATATGGGTGCTGAGTCTAAACTTAGGTCCTCTTACATGTATTTTTTGTTTTTTGTTTTTTCCTTTTCCCCCAGTATTTTGAGACAGGGTTTAACTATGTAGCTCTGGCTGTCCCAGAACTCACTTTGTAGACCAGACTGGCCCCACACTCAAGAGATTCACCTGCCTATTCCTCCTGAGTTCTGGGATTAAACTAGAGCCAAATCTGACCGTTTAACCAATCCCTGAGCAGGAGATCTAGCCATTCTGAGTTCAGGGATCGAAAACTGACCAGTCCCCACCCTGGAAATCTCCCTGAAGAAACTCCACACCTTAAGAAGCCCTATCTATGTAAACCCCATGTCTGTTCAGCTTGTGACTGCCCGGCTGTCTTCTGCAGAGGCAGCCAGTCTCCTGGATTCTTTCCTCCCAATAAACCTCTTTATTTGGGTGATGTTTGGGTGAGGGCAGGGTGGGGCGGGGCAGGGCGTTAGGTTGTGCCAGGGCCAACTGTGGTCCAACTCAGTACTAAATTAAGACTGAAAATAGGCCTATCCTACTGGTGTATGAATCGCTCAAATACATTTTACCCGACAGACTTTGAGTGTTTAAAATGGTAAATATCTCGTGTTATAAAAGCCCTTTCTGTTTTTCAAGGAGCAGATGCCCCTGGCAGTAGTTACAAACTGGGCCATCAGAGGCCCTCTTGGCAGTTGGGGCAATGGGGCTAGTTTAGGAGAAAGTAAGTTTGGTTCATTTGAATAGCAACGGTGTGTGGGGTTTAGTTTAAATGGTTGCATAGACCCAGTCCATTAGAGGGCCTGAGCCGTTGGGGCCATGATGGGTAAGGTAGTTTAGCAGGATGCATAGACTCTGGCCATCAGAAGCTGGGGCTAGGAGGTAGTTTAGCAAAAACGACGTAGCAGTCGTTACCCTCGGCTGTGCAAAGGTGCGTATTCCTTTCCCTACCCTCCGGGCTAGGAAGCCCGGCGAACTACAAGATCCGGTGTCCCCCGCAGCTAGCCCCGCCCTTGGCACAGGGTCGCAAATGTCGCGAGATCTCTGGACTTCCTCTGGCCTCTGGTGCCGGGACGTCAGGTCGCGGGCGCGCGGGGTACGCGAGGCCGCCGCTCCTGTCCCTTTAGCGGCGTGGTCTCGCGAGACTTGCGAGTAAACATCCCCCGAATGGAGAGTCAAGGCGTGTTCTCGGCGGAGGCGCCGTTTCCCCGGGCCTGCCGACCTCGAGCCTGAGGCGGACGCAGGTACGTCAGCCGGCCGCGGGCGAGAGCTGGCTGCGCCCTAGGCTCGGCCGCTCGTTCCCCGCGTGGGGGCCGCCGGCGACCGCTGTTACTTCACCAGAAATTCTCCCGGAGCAGGCGGAGCGGCGGCCTGGCCTGCGCCTGCGCGCCGCGCACGCGCCGCCCTCCTCTGCAGGGCCCTGCGGCCGCGAGCCCCGGGCAACCGGCCTGCAGGTCCGTGCCCATTAAGACTCTTATTTGCATTTACTGTACTTTTTTTTTTTTTTTCGAGTGGCGCTTTGAGGTGACAGAAGGAACACTTGAAGATTTGATTCTGGGTGCCAGCCTCTAAATTAGGGAAGCGAAAGAAAAGCCGGACGGAGGGAAAAGCAATTCCTTCCATTAAAATCTGCTAGACTAGTTTTTACGTAGGAAAAAAGAAAACCCTTAATATTTGGGACAAAGTGTAGTTATAGGTCAAACTGGCTACGAGCTCATGATCCTCTCTCCACCTCTGGTGCTGGAATTAAAAACGTGCACCACTACATCTGCCTTAACGTTATTTTTTAAATGTAAGAGCTTAATTTTTATGAAACTTCTTTTAAGTGTTACTGCTCAGTGACTTTGCGTCAGCATACTGAGCTACGCTGTCGTCAGCACCTCAGCCCCCTTTGAGAACCTCTCCCAAGACTCCTGGTACCCGTTTGTGGTCAGTATCGGTATCCAGTCGGCTTATCAGCGACTCCTCAGATTTGCCTTTTGGGAATAGTCAGTGAGGAGTCGAGTGTGGCCTTTTGTGTCTAGTTTCTTGGTGCCTTGTTTCCGGAAGTCGTCTTGCCCCGGGATCCTTTTTATGGCTTAATGATTTCCCAGTGCGTAACAGCCCACATTCTCCCATCCCCATTTTCGTGAAACACCTTTTGCCAAGAAAGTTTTATCTTCCAGTATGTGACACGTTTGGCCACAGCGCTGTTTTTTGGGAGGTGGCCCACCTGAGCTGCACTCTTACCCGTTAGGACTCCTGCAGCCCTCAAACACCCTGCATATCCCCACCTAGGAATGAAGGAGGGTGTTTTCTAGTCAGTTTCTTGCCATCATATCCTTGCCTGACAATAGACGATCCTTCTCCGAAGGGGAAGAGTGTGTGTGTGTGTGTGTGTGTGTGTGTGTGTGTGTGTGTGTGTGTGGGTGGGTGTGGGTGTGTGTGTGTGGGTGTGTGTGTGTGGGTGGTACATGGAGGCCAGAGCCCTATAGGTGTCTCAGGTACACCCCCTCTCTTTGAGTCAGGGACTCTGGAGCTTACCAGTTGAGCTAGACTAAAGAGTCAGTGCACCCTGGGGACGGCTCTGTGTCTACCTCCCAATGCTGGGATTATGGATGTGCACTGGCTTGCTCAACTTTTTTTGTGAATTTTGGGATCTGAATTCAAATCCTTGTTCCCCCTGGATCATCTCCTCAGGTCCTCCAAAGAACGTTTTTAGTGGTTTCTTCTGGGTAGGAAGTTATGCATTATTAGCAACTCTTTTTAATGATTTTTAAAAAAAAATTATGTACATTATTGTTTTGCCTGCACGTATGTCTGTGTGAGGGTGTTGGATCCCCTGGAACTGGAGTTATAGACCTTCATGAGCTGCCATGTGGGTGCCGGGAATTGAACCCAGGTGTGCTGGAAGAGCAGCT